GGACTCGAACATTGCCCCAAGCTTAGAGTGCTCAACACCAAATAACAATCGAGGTGATCCACTTCGGGATGAAGCGGTCAGGGGAGGGGGGGGGGCATTTAAAAAATAAATTCCCGGGGGGGGGTCTGTATTGAAAAATCGTTGAATTGAACTATCAATTATTAGATCCGGAGGAGCCCACACTTGCTTCGCAAGACAAACTCAAGGTATCCCCTGAAGGGCTACCTTTCGTGAGGACGACATCCTGAGATGAAGACGTCCCTTCTCTTTTCTGGCTGCACCTCTTCCAGTGATCTTCGTAAGGTGCCACCATGCCTGCCGGACACCTTGCCGGAGGCCCTGCCAGAGGCCCTCGGAGTGGGTGGGCGGTGTCTGCGCATGTGGTTCTCAGAAAGGGTGCCAGGATGATCTTGTATCACCTTAGATCATGCATTCAGAGGGTTCCCCTTGTTTGGTGTTGCTCCTGGGCAACTGATGGCAACAATTCCAGGAACCGTGGCGCTTTGCTGCTCCAGTCCAGATGATGACTCCATGATGTCGATAGGTGGAACTCACCTCGCTAGAAGGTGGATTAGCTTGAGACACCACACCCCCTTGGAATCTGACGGAAGTGAAGGAAGTGTAAAGAAGCACCTTCCGTGGGCTTGTCAAGGAGCATGCGCTCTGCGTAGTACAGAAGTTTCAACACAAAGAACCAACTCACCATTAGTGCGAAGCCATGTGACAGCTTTGGAAGCCATGAGTCATGGTTCTGCCTACTTCCCTCTATTCTGATTTTTGATTAATTACGAGCGCTCCGCACACTTGAATTGGAGATCCCAAATGCAACTCGGCGGTCTGCTTGGTGAAAACCATGGGGGGCGAGGCTGCTTTTGTCAAAGTCGGTTTTTGATGCACTCAGCAGTACCCTCCAAGGCGTTTGTCACGGCTTATCACGCTCAGTCTGCTTCGTCCAAGTTTGATCCAAACAAATGTGACATCATCAGACTTTGTATAGTTTCTTTGATTCAAAGGAAAGTCCCTTGTTATTTTTAGAATGTTCAACCTAAGTGCGAACAACATCGATTCGGTTCTGATTTCTCTAAGAAATCACGTCTACAAACACTTTCCCACATGGCCTGACCTATGACTGTACGGCTCAAATCCTCGCTGTTCGAAAAGCGAAGGTGGTTGTGAGTCAAGTGTGGCAGTATCTCAACTGCCGCGGCTCTCAACTGTATTTCTGATGACAGGCATATGACAAGTTTGCCAAAAAAATAACGAACACTGAGTTTAAGGTTGAAGGTTTACTTTGGAAAATTCGATGCTCAAGTCTAAGGACACATCCGTGAACGCACTCTTGCCCTCTCCGTCTCCTTTGCCAAGTAGCCTATGCAGCACGTGACTGACGAAGTCCAAGCTTTTGAGCAAGAGCTCAAACGTACGGAGCAAAGAAAAGCAATAGCGAACGATTTGAAGACATGACTCTTGCCATCTCGAAACATTTTGAGATGCTGGTGAGCTGAGTCAGCCGCTCTAGTTAAGAAGCCTCCAGCATGATGTCATGCCACCACTCGTAGTCAGGCCTGAACAGTTGGCACACCCACTACGCACTGCTGGTGATACTGGTGAATATATCTTCCCAAGTCCCTCAGCAGCCTGAACCACTGTTTGTTGAATCTCAGTCAATTTATTATTCTTTACCTTTCGGTCAAAGCATCCAAACAGTATCAAACAGAGTCAAACAGAATACTCCGCCTCAGGTGCTGGTGGCATTCTGACGTCTCCCAACCAAGGGCTAAATCCGCCTGCGCCGAAGGTGCTGGGGCGTGTGTACCCGGATGGCATAGAGCTTTAGCTCGGGGGGCTCATTATCGGGCAAGAAACCTAAGTTTTTGAAGGTTGTTGAACATCGACTGCAAACAAGTTGCAAATAACAGCATTTGATGAAGGTTTTGGATCACGCAAATTTTAAAGGCGTTCTTGAACAAGTTAAACATTTTTTTGTCTTTTGAAGATTTGGTCAAAAATAGCCAGGTAGAGCCGGCATCTAGCTGGCTAGAGGTTCGTATTAAACCCCAGAACAAAGCGCACCCAATACGAAGCCTGTGTGCTAGTTCCATGACTACTAGACTCACTAGACGCTTTGATGAGGTCATTTATATGCCTAGGTCTCGGTGGTGGAGGGATGGTGCCTGGCCACTCCTGTGCCAGTGTCGGAATGAAAAACCCTTCGATGACGCACACAACACTTTGCAAGTGCGAGATGTCCTCATCACAGTCATATCTCCAGTGAGATGCCCGCCTCAGAGTTGGTTTTACTGGCACAGGTGAACAAAGAACCATTGCTGTCCAATCATTCCAACTGACCACTGACCACCTCACCAATCTGAACAGTGATTCAAGCTTGTGACCGCCTGGAGGGACCATGTAGAGCGTCTCTTCCTGTAGAAAGGCTTTCAATGGCCAATGACCAATGGCTTGAGCAACACTCTACAATTTCACTGTTGTATGATTTCCGGATATAGCTGCATTGTGCCTGCACTCGCAAATAAGACTTGCCAAACCACGGCTTGTGGGGCTTAGACCGAGGACCTTGCTGAGTCTAGCCAAGCTTGCAAGTGTGGTGTGAGTGTGGAAACTGAGTGAGCATGAACAAACTATGCGCAACAAAACTTGAGTAGCAGTAACATATATATGGTACCCCCCAAATGTCTACCTCTTTTAGTTTTGATTGGTATTTGTGTTTTCTGCGCATTGTGTCCTGTTTGTTTCTGGTGTTACCCTGTGATATTCACAATTGTAAATCATGCAGGTCAATGTTCTAGTTGTGCAAACCCAATGTTTGTCACTGTCACAAATGTGTAATTTTAAATTCCAAATCTGAGTTGTTTAAATGTAATGTCACAGTGTAACAAAAAACTAACAACTCAATTATCATACGTGCATTTGCACTGGGTGCAACTGACAGTATGAATTGGAGTGCTCATATATAATATTGTTCATTGTCATGTACACAATTTTTTCTGTAAATTGTTGTTTCTTTTTGTGGGGTCTTCACACTTGTGCACCATGAGATTCATACTTTGAATTGCAAGTCTAGTGTAACAAATTGAGTTGAACGTATTGAAATTCACATGATCAATTGTATCAATTAACTACTATATTTGCAACTGCATTAGATACTATACACAACTGTAAATTGTTATGTTTCTTTTTGTGGGGTCCTCACACTTGTGCACCATGAGATTGACACTTTGACTTGCAAGTCTATTGTAACAAATTGAGTTGAACGTTTTGAAATTCACATGATCAATTGTATCAATTAACTACTATATTTGCAATGGCATTAGATTCAAATTACTAACAACATGAATTGGAATATGTATTAGTATCCTTGTTCTCTAATTTCCAACCCTTGGAAACCATATGTCCTTATCTGTGTGCATTGGTCAGCTGTTCTGCTTATACTAATGGATTTAATTGCAGGACGACGCAGGGTAGAAGCCATCCTACCACCAAAAGGGTAGACATTTGGGGGGAAGGGAGCGTATATAGGAGGGGACGAAAGCCAGCAAGAGACCAATATGGTAGTGCAAGACTGGGAGGAAAAAATAGCGGAGCACTTATTGTTGAATGCCTGTAGCTTTCGTGGAGCTTGTATCAACGTGGAGTAGATCAAGATCGGAGCACAGCATGAAGTGTTGAATGTTTTAGGCTTTCTCGATTTTCTTGGCGCGGTGCTCTCTGGAGCGTCCCTGTTTGGTGGTCTATTTGAGAATCCGTGTGAAAATAAACGTCAGTGAAGACCAGGAGAAGGATGCCCGAAAGGTGGTTTTTTTGTTGTTTTCAAATGTGTTTCGGGCATCGTGCATCAATGCGACGCCCTATAAAGAGCAGGGCTGGGAGAAAAAAAGAGGAGAGCACTCATTCTTGAATGGTTGTAGTTTTCGTGGAGCTGGTATCACTGCGACGTAGATGAAGATGGGAGCGCAGCACGAAGCGTTGAGTGTCTTTAGTATTCTTGATTTGCTTGGCGCGGCGCCTTCTGGAGCGTCCCTTGTTGGTGTTCTATTTGAGAATCCGTGCAAAAATAAGCGTCAATGAACACCAGGAGAATGATGCCCGAAATGGTTTTTGTGGTTGTGTTGAAATGTGTTTCGGGTATCGTGCGTGTATCAATGCGAAGCCCTATAGAGAGCAGGGCTGGGAGGAAAATTTCGTGGAGCTGGTATGACTGCGACTGAGATCAAGATCGGGGCACAGCATGAAGTGTTGAATGCTTGCAGCTTTCTTGCTTCTCCTCTTGCGGCGCTCTTATCCCCAAGCCTCTACCTCGCCCAGCTGGACATACTCACATCGTTCGCTCCCAGAGCGTTCACTCTTTGTTGCTTTGTCCTTCTTGGTATGATCAGAGCTACACAGTCCCTATGCCCTGCTCAGGACTAGAAAGATTGTCTCCAGACCCCTTCATGATGCTAATGATGCACTACTCAGCGTCCATTGCATCACTCGCATCTCCAGACCCCATTTTCACCGCGTTTCTGACCCTCGCTTTGGAGCGCTCTCCCCCACCAAGCTCCGGGTTCACCCTCTCAAAAGGTGCCTTTTCGCGCCCTCCCCCCCACACCCCCCTTAACTCACTTCGTTCGCTCTAAGAGCTCAAGCCTAGCCTATCGGCTGGCTTTCGTAATATATCAAGTGAAACTGTCTATGCGAGAAACATGATGTCTTGCGCAAATTCAACCGCATGGTGTTCGTGTCTAACGGCACTCAGCACTTTGAATCTGAGTCAGAGTCACGCACCACCGCTTCCCTTCTGAACGGGAATACCAATTCACAGGCCATAGCTGTAACACAAACTTTTGAGTTTCAGATCAACTGTAACGCATTGGGACGTTCTGGTATTCAAACAAATGCGCCTCTTCATGTCTTTCGCCATTTTGTAGTGCTTCTGACTTTTGACTCAGTCTTTGCACTGAAGAATTGCCCCAACGTTCAGAGTCAGATGCAATCTTGGTGGCGAGGCCAGGCTGGTATCGACCAACATGATCCATTTGACAAGAACTTGCAATCAATCACTGCTACCCCTAGTTGGCTCTTGCTGCAATCCACATGAGATTGAACCTTTGCTATGTAAGGCGCATCTTTTTGCTGCACGATGCCCTCAGAAGATGAGATCCTCATCCTGGAAGTAGAGTCACTCGGGCAAAGGAAGGAAGAAGGATGGAGGAAAGAACCGAAAACAAAGGTCCAAATACGACTATGCGAAGGGTCTAAGCCTAGCAGCCTTCAAGATAAAGACACCTTTACTCTAACAGTGCAATGCATCAATTTTCCAAGAAGTGCAGGCCTTTTTCGTAGCCAACATGCTGGGAGCATCGATTGCAGCCTGCAGTGCGAGCTGTCACGTGTTTGGGTACACATCAAAGATAGTTGAATATTCTTTCAGTTCTGCGAAGGGCGCCTCGGTTCGCTTGCCGGCCTTAGTTGCATTCCATTACTCCTTGCTAAAGCAATATTGAAACATGAATAATTATGAATGAATATGAACTGAATGCACGTTTGCCTAGACTGTGATCGTTAAACTTCGTTGAAGGTGACCTTTATCAACTTCAGACCCAAGACTTTCTAGCATCATCTAAGATCTTGTACAATATCTTTCTGAGCCCCTCACTGCAGCCATTTCGTCCTGATGTGTGCTGGGAGATATATCTGCCATTGAACAAAACTAGTTATTTAGCTTGCCAGAGTAGAGCCAACTATGAACTGAAGAGAAGTCTGGCACCTTCTCTTTCTGCAGCTTCACTTTCTTCTTTTCAACCACCTTTTCATCAAACAAATGGAAGACAATTTTTCCCTAAATGAATAGTAGCGCGAGCGCTTCTTCAAGGAAGCTGCCTCAGTTTTGAGGGAGGGGGAGCTTGAAGAAGCGCATCCTCGTCCTACCTAGGAGTGTTTAAATTCATTGCTACTATATATAGCTTACCAGTACTGGCCTACCCCCCCTAGGGCTTTGAAACAAAGAAACGAGCTTCCAAGCCTTTTTGACTCGGAAGAACTCCTCTCTTGCTTGCTCGTCCATCTCCTAGAGGTCCGTTCACAGCTCTGAGCTCTCAAGCTCTCAGAGCATCAAAAGTTCCAAAGAATGTCCTGTGTGATGTAGTGGATGATGTCTTCAATTCGAGGAATGAGCACATATTCGAGCGCATTCACTCTTCGACTGGTCATCTTGATCTCCTGAAATTATGGATACAACAAATCAAAACGTAAGAGGCCATCTTTAAGGAATTTAAAGCGGACTTGCAACCTTCAGCAAGGCGACAAGATTCAATTGCTGCCTGACTAAACAGGCCTCTCAAATCAACAGAAGTGTTGCCCTGAAAGTTGGAATGTTTGTAATCCACGAAGAATGTCTTGCCCATGCTATTGCAACTGATCCTAACCAGCCAGGTTCCCTACTAGATCCTACTAGTAACCTCTGCAGGATACGAGCATCCCTGTGGAAAAATCCCTATTGACCAAGCAGTGCAGCCTTTTGTGCATCGACGCGAACAAGTTTAGACTGCAGGGAAGGCACCAGGTCTCCTCATCGAGGGTATGAAATGCGGTCTGCAAGGAAGCAAGCTTCACCAAGCTCACTACTGCCTCTGGCAAAGTGCATGCGGAAGGGCGTCAGCAATCCACTGTGACAAAAATGCAGTCGTGAGAGCGGAACGATATCCTTTTCAGGGTGTAACTGCTGGCTCTTCTTTTTCTGTCAGCACAAACAAGAATGTGACAAAATGGAGGCGTCGCCTTTCGGTATGTTTCTCTGGCAGCGTTGATCACAGCGCCACCGCACGCTACGCCAAGGGTCTGTGCACTGGAGTCCTGTGCGAACTTGAATCTTCTATCGCCCGAACAAGCAACAGGTTCAGCGAAATACGATCAACATAATCAAGGACTCAAACACCATACTTTGTGAATTTCAATTGCACCTTGGATGCATCATAACTCATCTTGAACAAAGGAATGGACACGCCGGCCACGTTGTCAGGATACAACTTTGTTGTGATCGAGGGCCTCACACAAGTCTGAAGTTCAGCTGGGATTCCTGCAGAGTTCCAACACATATTGAAAGACACACGGAGAGGGAGAGCGCGGGCGGCCCAAAAGAGCGAGATGTAAGGAATAAAAAGATAAACACATTTTTCTTTGTGTGAATTTGTATGAAATTATCCTTGCGTCAGCTTGCCGAAAGGAACATCTTCACTCTTCACCAATCTCTTCCCACTGCATTTTGCTGCCTCTTGGCTCGCTCGATGACCTGACATGTCTTTGGCTCGCTGTCAGGGAGGGTCTGTAGTTGGACAAGCTCTGAGATTCCGAACGGTAGATGCAATATCGTCGCCCGAGCTAGCCTGGGGTGACCCTTCTGACTTGCAATCCAAGATCTCAAACGGGTCTGAAGCGTTTCTAGCGACGCCATGCACCAGAGTCTTCGGTACAAATTCTGCACCCAACACAAAACAGGTAACCAGTAATCAGGAGTTTCGCGCAAACACCTCAGGTCATAGCATAATGTGCTTTGGCTAATGAAAACGCACCGTCCTTGAGACCCTCACCGACCTGGAATTTTGCATTTCAAACGCTGACATGAACTGCGATTTGACTACAGCTAATGCGACAACACTGCACTTGCTCAAAGAAGCACTCAGTGTCAGAAGCTTTGGAGTGATGTTGCGTTGACACGACAGGAATCATATCGAGAAATGCTCGCACCAAACCCACATGACAGCTATGCATAGCTGTGCTAATCATAAAGAAAGACACGAGGTTGAAGAATCAGGGCTGACTGGAGCAGCTGCGGCCTTCAGCTTTGTATCAACGATTTCTTTCAACAAGGCCTGCAACAAGTGATCAAACATGCTGGAGATCATGCCTTCCCTCTTTAGTTTCGATCAATATTGAAAGAACCAACTCCATATCCCACACACCTCTACGGGCAAGTGGTAGATTGTGCTAGTGGTCAAGAAACCCGTCAGTAGGAAATGAAGTCCAAACTGCCAACCGAAACCACCAAGCAGTCTCTGTGTGAATGACTCCAATGAGTGGAGGACTGGCAAGTGAAGTCTTCGGGAGCAGGTTGGCGACAAAATCTTAAAAGCAGGCCGAAAAATTACCTGCACAACATTGTCTACAAACATCCAATTGGAAGATTGTGGTCAGTGAGTCAGTCAGGCAGGCAATTGATCGTCCCAATTTCATAAGGTGATACAGTTGCCTGGAACTTGGCTTTGAGCGCATCACGCTTCTTCTTCAACAACTTAAAGCCTTCTGCGTCCATCTCTACACACATGGCGTCTTTATGCATCTTGAACATTTCTGACTCGACTGAGATCCATACCCTTGCTGGCTCCACCCAACCGGGCTTTGAAGGTCTCAGTGATTGTCACAATTGACTTTTCACAGTTTCACCTTTTCTGCATGCCAGTCCTTTTTACTTAATGACGAAATCTGGTGAGTCAACATTGTCTGGTGCTCTTGTATGAAATGAGCAGACATGTCGTCGTCCAAACGTCAATGAACACACATCAAGAACAACCCAAACTACATACTAATACTATTATTATTACAATTATACAATGCTCATACAGAATTCTCTCGTTGCCGCCTGGAGAGTCATTCGGTTTGCAGCAGGCTTTTGCCCTCCAGCCTGGCTTCTTTGAGGTCTGGATGCTGTGACTCGGGTTTGTTGCATCAGTAACAGGGGTTTTCTGCGACAGTGAGCTGCTGAGAGGGTTTTTGGTGACAGTGCCCGCAGGGAATGTTTGCAACATTCGACCTCAGGTTCGCTGCATTTCTAGGGCAAGGCATAGCAAGGCCTGAAACTCTTCCAGGGTTGTTGACCTCTCACATACCCATCGAAACATTTTCAAAACTTCAACCTCCTCATCTTTAAACAAGTTGCACATTTATTCTCAAGGAAGGTTTGACATCAAGGGGGTTGACATCATCAAAGGGTTTATTCCAGCCTCCCCACTACATGGTTTTGTGACACCCCTCTCAAAAAGATATAGTGTCCTTCCAAAAAACTATTCCAGCAACTCCACCCTTGGAATAAGTAGCGATGGCTCCATGACAAATCTTCGATATCAAAGATTGCACTTTTTGTGTTACGTTTCCTGGCTTTACGAACGGCATGGTGATCAGGTAGCTGTGCACCTGCGACATTATGTTGGCGTTGATCCAACACCTTGGGTGAAATGGGTAGCCGCAACGAGTGTCCTTTTTGTTCTTGCAACACCTCCATTTCAACATACATAATGCAGACGTCTCTCCAACGACTGAGGTTGAAGCTAAGAGACCAGGTAAATCAAAATGATAAGCCACTTTTTCGGCTCGGTGATCGAAATGAAACTTTGGATCCAAAGATTCGAGCCGGGCACATAATGTTGACCCAATCAAAATAAGACACCGCAAGCGCTAGATTCCGTTGCTAAACACATATTCCAATGCCGCAGGCATGCAGAATTCAAGCTTCTCATGTCAATCAATCCAAAGTCGATGGTCCTCTTATTCACTTTCAGAGCGCTATTTTAATCAAGGTGGCTCTGACACTTCAGGGCAAAAGACCGCTGTACAGCATCGAAATTGCTTCAGAATCCTGAATTGAGAGAGGCCTCTCCTGAAGTTCAAACTCTTGGAATGCCATCAAATGGTAACGCCCCAGTCACAAATGCATATAAATGCAACTGTCTTAAGATCTGGAGATTTGCAGTGAGATACTTTCCAAGGACCAGACTGTTCATTAAATCGTTGAGTGATTGGAACGACATCTAAGGTAAGGACGGGCATCAACTCAAGGACATTGCCTCGTGCCACAGCTAAGGACTTACGAGAAGACAAACCTATTTGAGTGGAACAGCATGGAATAGCATTACTCTAAAAATTTGACACAACAAAGCGGCCTGCCTCAAACTTCTCTTCCAGCTGCTTCAAGCCGTCCATGACGTTCGAAATTGTCTCACCCTAGGCATGGTCTTCCCAACATACAATACATTTTTCCGTTCATGTTTCATATTGTTTTTAAATGTCTTTCTGGTCTTCTCTTTATCTTTGGACCTATACTTTAGACCTTTCTTTTTCTTTCTTCCAGTTCAATATGTCCGATCACTCGAACACTGTTCCCTTGAACACTGTTCCCTTGGTCGATGAGCTCTTACAAACAAATCTGGTTGGCCTTGATTTTGACCTGGGGTATGGAGATATATTCTGGAAGTCCAGCAAGTGCCTTTCGTTGATCACATGCTTACTCTCATGGGGTTCTGGACTTGATTCTAGTGGTTCAAGGTTTCAATACTGAAGCTCTGCGCTAGTCGCTTGTCTGCCTTCGTGTCGTACGCAATGTCGCCGCTCTGAAACCTGATTTGTAAAGAAATGCAATGTCAGCTCCATTTGCTCTGTTCTAAGCTCATCTAAGCTCGAAGCTTTATGTTTTTTTTGCCACTTTCTGTTATTTTGCTTTCCATCTCTGCCTTGTGACCGCAACACTTCCAAAGAGGCTGGACAAATTCAGTCCCAAAATGCACTCACCAACGTCTTGCAGGCACTTTTGGCGCCCTGCGACAGGAAGGCCAAGTTCTTCTGATGGCTTCAAGACCTGAACACAGGGAGCCACGTCGGCTCGGCTCTGTGGCTCCCGTGGCCAAAGGCTGTGCTGCTGACATTGTCGGCCAAGACTCGAAGAACTGCTGTGGAACACTTGATGAAGTCAACCTACAAAGAACAAATGCTTAGCCTATGAAGAGAGTGATGCATCTTTGAAGATCTTTGAAGAAATACTTCATGTGGAGACTTGGAAGCATCCTTTTGAGACAAATAGAAAGGTTCCACCGACTCTTTTAGCTACCAAGCAAAACAAATTGAAGTAGAGCAAACATTAGCAAACTGCTCACAGCTCTCGCCTGGGACTCTGGAGTGTGCACGAAAAGCCCTGTCAACTCCTTCAAAACAGCACGCCGTCTCAACTAAGCAAAGCGTCGAAACGTTCTCCTGCGCGCTTCTGTACAGCCGCGCATTGCAGGATTCCAGGATGTCCATGCAAACCTAGTCTGATGAAAAGTCATGCCAAGAACAAATGCAGTTCTTAAAGCCTCTACACAGGCCATCGCTAGTAGGTTGGAGTCCATCGCTGTTAGAAACAAAGAAAGTCTAGTGAATCGTTTTGATACAGAAGGATGGACAGCACAAGCATTTTGAGCAGTGAAGAATCGGACAAAAGCTCCCGAGCAGTCAATCTTGGTCATGCATAGCTAGTCTTGCCTTGTTTGTTTTCCAAAAGCCGCTTTCATGCTTGGTTGGGTAGTGCAAGAGCACGCCGCAACAATGACATTGTCGCTTCCATTTCTTGTTGCCTGTTACTCTGAAAGACACGCTTCCACTACTACTTGACGTGTCTCTCATGCCTCACGAACCCCATGCAGTTGTTGCTTGCTCTCCCTATGCGGGAGCTTGAAGTGTGAGCAGATGAATGTTCTCGCCGCTCATGAAACAAGTGCAAACCAGGCTGCTCTTTCGGGTCTTGTGGCTCGCTTGTCATTTCTGATGGCTAGTGAAGGTTGCCTGTGCAAGTGGAAAACCATTTAGATATTAAGGAAAACACGTTTTGCACACTGGAAACAACATCAAACAATAGTTTCAGCTTAAAACTTCATTCATTCTTGACCAAATGCAGCTATCACCCACCCCAAGATAAAACTACCCAAGCCGTAAACAGCAGGGTACAACATCCAGGACCCTACAAAAGCAACGCTGACTCTAGTTTCTTCCTCTGTCGTAGTCCTGCATTCAACAGCCAAATGCGTGGGACGTGACATAGCCCAAGTAGATAGATGCATATGTGCTAACCAGTCAACAAATACCTGTCAAACCCTTTGCAGCAACAACATTTGTTTCCACACAGTGTTACTCCGTCACCACTATGTCACCCTTTAATGCTGCCCGGTCAACCTTCGTAGGAGTGAAAGGTATTGGCATGCCACGATAGTCAGCAGGTTCATCCTGAGGCTTGATGAAGCTTCTGGAGCAATGTTGGAATGAACCGCAACGGCAGCCCTTTGGCAACCCTTCCTTCTGCACTTTGACAAAGTTCCACACGATGAAAAGCACCTATGGATTCGGCAAATTTGCAAACACATACTGAAAAACATATCGCAATTTGCCTGCGTCTGAATCTCCCCACGCTGCCTCAACTCGTGCATCACCTCAGAGAGAACAACAAGTAAACTCTATTCTTTTCGTTTTCCTTTGTTTCGAACAGAAATGGCCTCCAACCTACAAGCGATGGACTCCAACCTACTAGCGATGGCCTCCAACCTACTAGCGATGGCCTCCA